ATTAAGTTTCTTGACTCAAAATTCGGACCGACGTTCGCACTGCCCGTTGGAAACAGGTATTATAGCGTCCCTTCAGGATGTTGACCCATATTCCAGAGCTATAAAAGGTGCGTTCGACTCGCTCTATCCTCTTCCCGCGGATGTATGCGAGACAAAGCGTCTGCTCTAATGTCCTTCCTTGCTCCAACCTTATTACTCCTTCTTTCTCTAAACCTATCCACACACATGATCGGAGTTCGGACGTAACAGATACATTCATAAAGCAAATATTAATTCATTATATTAGTCACTATTAAAATTTGCTTTAGGAAATTAATAAGGTGGTATTCTGTATAAATAATGACAAACATATCTTTTACTTAAAAAACCATTTCCTTATATTTATCGTGATAATAATGTCTTCTACAATCTTACTATCTGCAGGAAATGGTTTCGTGGAAAATCTTATCAGAACAGATAAATATTCCCTGCTTAAAATTTCCGATTGAAAACTATTTAAAACCGATAGAATTTGAATAAGAATGAATGGAATCTATTGGAATCGAAATTACTGCCAAATGAGAATGAATCGGAAACAATAAGATTTTAATAGAATTTCCATTTAACACTATTTTCAATAAAAATGTATTGGCATATTACGGATTCAAAAAATGAGAAACCAATCGGTTTTTATTGGACAATGAGAAATAAATTCCGATCGACGAATCGGATTGAGTGGGACATTCATTTTAACGAACTGAATCAGATCCAATCGAATATCGTACCATTGAATGACAATAGGTTTTTATCCGAAAACTCACCGATTCTTAAACCAATAAGAAACAATCGGCAAATGTCTCCGATCGTCGAATCGGATTGAGTGGGGTTATCATCTATCTATTTCATGAAATTATTCCTATTGGTTTTGGTATCAGCGGTTTATCTAATTAAAATCTATTAAAAGATAAACGTGCATATTGTGTCTGTAGGTGCGTGCGTGCGTGCGTGCGTGTGTGTGTGTGTGTGTGAATTCTTATTAATATTTGCGTTCAGTAGAAAAAAGTTTACAGCTATTGTAAAATTCCTTAATATGATTAATTCATATGTTCTTAGTTTTTAGTTCTCCTTTAAATCAATCATATTAAAGAATTTTATAACAGTTGCAAAGCTGCTTGTTTTGCCGAGCACATTGAATCGTAATCATTTAAAAAAAATCAATTTCTCTTAATTGCGATTCGTCGAAAGCAGACGGACTATATAAATTCACCAGTTATTGAACTTGGTATCTACAGCTTGTGTGATTAAAACCTTTTGGCAAGCAAACCTATAAAAAACTATTCAATCCCCTATTCGAAGGAAATATCATTATTAATCCTTGTTTAGCGCTTTTTTGTATACATGGATATACGCCGATACAATCCCATTGCATTTGTTCCGATTTATTCCAATTTGAAAAATAAATCGGAAAACATCGGAAATTTCCGATGCATTAATCCGATTACAACCGATTCCAATTTTTCCAATCGGTTTTAATTGGAACTTTTAAGCAGGGTTATATAATATATTGAGATTCTGTTGACTACAAAATTCATTTTAATTGTATCTTTTTTTATATTGGTCTTAATTTTTTCCATCCAATCATTTACTGCAACATGCTAACACCTAATTTGCGAATTTGCTTTTCAATGACCTCTGCTACATGGCACGCTTAATCGGGTTTAATAACATCCGTAGTTATGAAATTGTCTAATCATAGCTGTTCCTCGGAAGAATGGAACGACTGTGATTGGCCACTTTCATAACTACGTATAATTAGATCCGGGTTTAATTGATTAATTTTTGACGATTTTAGATTTACTATATTCTCATTGTACTACACCTACTACACCCATACTACACCCGGGCTTTGTTCGTTTTCGTAATGTATAAATCTATTGAATTACCAAATAGTGACTTTTCCCAAATGAAAATAATAATGACGTCTTCCCCAAATAATTTCTAATTACTATAATTCCATTCATAAAACACATTAAATAAAATCGCTGTCTGCTAACTTGACGTATGATAAAATTTGTTAATTACAAGAAAAATACTGTTTCCCAAATGTTTAAATGCTTTTCCCAAATTTCCCCAAACGATTCCCAAATTATATAGACATAAATAAATCAGAAATATTCAATTTGTCTGCTATCTTGTCAGTGGTATTCAGTACTACAACCGCTCACTGAGCGCTCAGTGAGCGCTTGCATCTTATTGGTATATTCCGTTAGAACTAAAAATATAGACCAAACAGATAGAGCTCACTGAGCGCTTAGTAAACGGTCGTGATACTAGGCCTGTTCTTTTTGACTGAACTTTTGCACCAGTTCATCTTTCTTCCTTTTCTTTCCTCCTGGAGGAGGTACATTACATTGTACTCTTTGGTCGTATACATACGTATTAACATCGACTTGCTTGCGGCCTTACAATTACGACTAACATTTTTGTACGTGTGATGACCTTTACCCCGGATCTACAATAGCGTTTTAAGCTTTAAGCCATAAGAAATAGACGAATCATAGTCGATTATTCTCCTCGAATTCGACTATAATTGGTCAATTTCCTATGACTTAAGACTTAAAACACATATTGTATTATAGATCCGGACTTACTCTATTGTGATTAGCTGATGCGAATACTGATCCGTCTTACTGCCTTATGTTTTTGTATATGCAATGAGCTTTATACTTAAGTCCACTAAAAATATAGTACGTGTGATGGCCTTAAGGTAACTCTATTGTGATTGGCCGATTTGCTTACTGCTACGTCTTACTGCCTTAAGTTTTTTTTTATTCAATCCTTGGCTTGAATCACAGTCAACATTTTTTAACCATATTATTTAGAATTTAAATAGATTGTTTCATTACTTTTTTATAAATATTATTGCATTGCACTCTTTATGAGCGCGATTATCACATTTAAATTTGTAAAATTAACGATTTATAAAAATTGATACGATTTTCTGAAAAATTGGATCGATTCCGAAAGAATCGAAAAATAAAAAAATCAATTTAAAATCAATTTCTCAAGAGCAAAAAGAATCGATTCTCGATGCATCTATCCAAGAATCGCTCTATCACTACTGAGCGCTCAGTGAGCGGTAATGCTTCTGGATGAACCTATCAATAGCTGCGAGCGTTCACTGAACTGTTGAATTCGCTGATCGTATTTAGCAGAGAACTAATGAGTGGTTGTTTAATGGGTGCATTCAGTACCACGACCGCTCATTGAACGTTCAGAGAGCTCTTGTATCTATTTGATCTATATTTTTAGTTCTAACGGAATATGCCAATCAGATGCAAGAGCTCACTGAGCGCTCAGTAAGGGGTTGTAGTACTGAATACACCCAATGATTCTTTAATATGAGTGGATGAGTGGTTTCTACACTTAAGATCGATTTGCTTACTGCCTAAGGCAGAAATCAGACTACGCATTGAGAATATTGAGATTGAAAATTGAAAGATTGAATTTGACTAATTAAAACAATAGGAGCGCTAAAATAGCTTTGCCCTCACTGGTCAAATTTTAATCTTCAATCTTCAATCTCAATCTTCAATTCGTAGTCTGATTCCGGCCTAAGTCTCACGCCTTATGTTTTTCTATGTACCATGGCCTTAACTAATTTATAATAGTTTCCATTTTAAAGCTGGTAACAAATACATTTGTCGTACAACAAATTTTTCAAGTTTATAGATTAGATGTAGAATAAAGAAATCCGAAAATCTCTGTCTTGTAGTCGTGTAGCCAACACGCTTGAAAAATTGTACAACAAATACAATATTAGTAATAAACATCTACAGCACAAAGTTGCACAAAAGTTGCAGCAACACTGCTGCAATATTACATGTTGCAACAATATTACAGATTTTGTAGCAATATGATGCAAATTCTGTGCTGTATGGGAATATACAAAGATTCCTTTCTCTTTTTGACCGCGTCTATATTTAGAACTATTTAATTTTAAATAATCTTAGGATTCCATTCAAAAAATGATCGGGATTATACTTCAAACGTATTCCATCTGTAAATATTGTTTAAACTGTCTAAAGAAATTGTACTTAAGTACACACTTTTTCCACGCACATTCAAAGTTTTAATCGATTCACTTTATTAATCTACAAACATTAAAGTTAATATTTTCTAAATACAAAAACAAAATGTAGATTATATGAAAAATTCATTTAAAAAAAACATCGATCCTGCCAGGATTCGAACCTGGAATCTTCTGATCCGTAGTCAGACGCGTTATCCGTTGCGCCACAGGACCCTTCTGAATACATTCTCTTAAAAATTATATTTTAATTGATTAAATTTTATACTTCATATTTTTACTTATTCATATATATTAATTCATATTCCTCTATTATTCATTTATTCATATTTATTAATATCTTTCATTATTAAAACTGGAAAAAGTTATTCTCCTATAATTCCTATATCATTAAACATTAATCTATAATGAATTCTTAATAATACTTTTTTTTAGTCTACGTGAAATTAATTTTCTTCATATTTCATAAAACATGAATTAACTATAAAACTTTATGAATAATAAAAAAATTCCATGTAAGAGAAACAAAATTTCACAAAAACAAATATACACATATTTATATATTCGACATATCTATATATTTTATATTTTACAAATGATCCTTTAATTAAAAACAATAAAAAACAAACCTATGTTATAAAACATTAGAGCAGTATCACAAATAAGTTAGTTCATTATTACATATACAAATATAACAGTTGATTTTATTGATACGCTTAATTAGAAATTGAATTTAAATGGACTTTCAGTTTTATTACTATTACAAACAGCCTGCTCTGTACTTTGTAATATATTTTGTGTTCCATGATCATCCGTTTGTCTATTAGAATTCTGTGTACTATATCCAGTAGCTTTCTTAATAAATATTGATTTCTTTTCTAATGAGGTAGAACCAGTGAACTTAACAGTCGATACAGTTTTGCTAAATTTTCGCTCGTCCTCAGCCATTTTCTCTCTGTAATCTCCCAATGTATTTCTCATTATTTGTCTCTTTTTTACTAACGGCGCAGTGTTACTCTTCAACGAATGTAATTGTTTACTGAGTTCCTGCACTTGCTTCTCCTGAAGTTTGCCGCCAGCTAGGCTTGCTTCCATTTGTTGTATGCACCAGCATAATTCCAATTCAAAACGGTCCTCCACTTCTGGATTCAAAGTGCTTGCATTACTAGCGTCTGTTCTAGGAGAAACGCATGTTGATACGCTCTTTTTGTTTTTGTTGCGTTTGGAATTCTGAAATAAATGTAATGTTTATAGATCTATTCTTTTCAATTAAACTTCTTGTACGGTTAACTTTTCCTCCCCATATTGAAAAGAAAGAGAAAAGATGAGAGCAATGTAAGAAATTTAGCAAAAAGAACAGGCTTCATATTTAACGAAATGCTCTCGACTTCGATAATAAACATTATTTTTCAAAACAAGGAAATGAGGATTTTCATGAATTACCAGTGCAGATTTTGGCGGCATTTCACAATGAGGTTTATTTCAGTTAACGGTTTACGTAATTACAAAATCACAATATTAAATTTAGTTTTATATATGATTGAAATCTAAAACTAAAATGTGTCCATAAATATATCATTCGATAATGCGTAAGTATTAGGTTATGTTTGAACTTTGAACGTGCTATGGCGATGGTGTAGCCATCTTTTGTAGTACGTAAGAAGAAATAAAGCGACATTATATTGCGAAGATGATCGATAAATAGATCGTCAGGCGAGAGTTTGAAATTTCAAATAACAATAAAATCTTGTAATAACGTGAAGCAAGCATGAATTTTGAATTTAAAAGACCTACGTAAGATTTGCGTATTTTCTTCAAATTATCACGTTTAGCATCTATAGCTACAAGAAATTTGCGTTTATTCTATCTTCTTTCCCAAACAAAAATCGTAAGGATAAGTTCTTATCTTCTGGTTTTTCTGCGCAATAAATTTCAATAACGCTCGTGCCGTTGATTGTGCTGGAATGGAAAAAAATGCAATTACAAGAGAGAAAATAAATTCGTATGTCGGTATGCATGCTGGTCAGTCTTTACAATTAAGGACGGACATACGAAAAGTGTGGAAGTAATTGTGCGGAAACGCAACATCAGATAAGCAACGGAGGTTAAAAAGATTGGATTGTGTATTAGCATGCGGTATAAAGGCGTAGGATAGTTTGCGGAGAAATTAAAAGTACAGCGGCCTCATAAAACGAATCGTCTGCAGGAATTTGTCTCGTATAAATTTCTGATCTTCGAAATTAGGTATTAAAGATTGAAAGTTAAGCTCAAACTTGAAAATATAATAATAAATCAATTTAACATATTTAAACCAATTTTTGAAAATATGAATCAATATAATATACTTAAAATTTCAATTAACTAGTTAACGTATTTTCATAATTTTATTTCGGTACGCGTGATAAGAATTAATAGACAAGATGAATATGCTACAAATGTACAAGTAAATTAATAAACATGACTTTCTTTTTTTTTCGATTTAGCTGTTTTTTTTACAAGGCCTTTTAGGCTGGATTGTTCCACCTTTCGGTAAATTTCAACTCACTGTCTTACTCTCTTTTGTTTATATATATATCCAATAGTTAAATCACCATAATTATAGTTTATCTGAAGCTGGAACAACCGGCCCTTAGAGAGGGAGAGATGTTTGTGCGTTTCAATAAAAGAGCGGTAGAAATGTATAATGTACAAGATAGTATACACAGTATATATAGACGACAGGGTGACATTAATTCTTCAGAATATATTTACAAGAGCAGTACAAAGAATAACTCGATATTACACATATATATTCGTTACGTAGACTAACGAGTAATAGGTATAAGCAGGTGAACAGTTTAATTATTAATTGAGGCACGTGATAATAAGGCATTTCTACAGAGGATAGACACACGGTCGTACGCACGTAAGATAGCGGTTTTTTTTTTCTAAAAAAAAAAGAAAAGATAAAAATAAATATGAAAGAGAAAATTGGTCATTCCGGGCTTTGTGTAATATTTAAATTACATCTTTCGCTCACCTTTATAGAGAAATATAAAGTTTGAAAGAGATAACAAACGATCCATGATATATTTTGAATGTCTACTTAAGGAATTTTTTTATCACTTCATGATATTAAAAATTTTTATAAAAATAGAGCTGTTACGTAAATCAGGAAACAGATATACCTATATCACTTAAATTTTTGTGGCCTTCAATAATCTGTATTAATGTTGGATTGACAAATTGGAATTTTTGTAAATTATAGTGCTAGCAGTAATTTCAAAGAAACGATACAGACAGTACAACATAGTTAAAAATATCAACTAACGTTTTCTCTATCTAAAGAACATTGCAAAGATGATTTGGTCTTTGAGACATCTTTTTTGTGTTATGCTCGGAACATTTAAACAGAATCTGCAGACTACGTAAAATTATTTGCAATATACGTAAACTAGGAATTAAGTATTCCCTTCTTACAAATAAAAATATATTTTCACGGATAAACACTTCTCTCAAATACAGTATATATTATGTATTTAAGTACTCGCACATTATTAAGATAACGAGATATGTCTATTCACAGATTGTTTTCATCAAATCATTTCAGATTTGCCTTCGAGAGAATCAATTATGTCTATCTTACGTGTTTACAATCGTTGCAAATTACATTAGTGGACGTCACAATGAAGATTGATATTCAGTGCAAACCATTTGTGCTACACTGAATAACATACCGACTTTTATCTTAAAGTGTGTGTGTGTGTGTGTGTGTGTGTGTGTGTATTTTTGTGTGCACACAAACGCGTGGTCGAGATCCCTAAAGTTTAGAACACATAGCTAATAGTCCATTGACCGTCCAAAGAAGAAAGGATAGGTCAAAGATTAAAGGACACATTATATACAATGTGAAAGTCATTAGCCATCACAGATTGGTAATGATATTTCTGTTAAACATCAAAAACAAAAGAGAAAGTTCTGTATGTCTTAATTTGTCCGCTCGTCACCTGATTTCCGACATATTTATAACAAGTATATAAAATATCATCACATCGCGCGGTCCAGATTTAAGTACAGGATCGTTCTCTCTGTGATATATGTACGTAATAGAATTTCGTATAAATCGACATAATTTTATATAGAAGACAATATAGATTACGTACTTAAGGTAAAAAGGAAAAAAGCATTGATTCGACGGCAGTTATTTATAGACTGTAAATTCGGGAAAAAAAACAACGCCAATACATTAATTATCCTTTTCATCACTGTGAACGCACGTTTTTACCGAATTCTAGGATCAATGTCTTGAAACGGGGGCTTATATCTTTCGTATTTCAAAGTGTATTTAGCGTAACATGTAACCACATACATACGACATCGAATCGCTCGCAAAAAAATTGGTCTTTTGCAATCACGTATAAAGTGATACTCCTTAAGATATAATTATCTATTATGGCCATTCTACAATAAGCCATAAATCAGAAGTTAGAAGCTGGAAATTGACGACTGTGATTGGTCAATTTCCAGCTTCTAACTTCTGATTTATGATTAATGGCTTATTGTAGAATGCGTGTAAGAAGAAATTCGCGTTACGCATTAAACATTTCAAAATTTTTTTTTATCATCGCGCCTTCCGAGATACAGATCCACTTTAACCGAATTGGCGTAGAGACGTTGCGTTACAAAAATATCGCATTTGACAAAGAGATTTACACAAGAAAATTCCATATTAAAAATATATTACATCTTCGAGAAAGAAAACTGTATAAACAAATAAAAATTACACGCGTAATGTACACAATTATCGCGATGAAATATGATACTGAAACGTTAAAGAAAAGATAGTGAGTAAACAAAAAATTATTTTTTAATAGCAAGATATATATATATATATATTTTATTAAAAGTTTTTCTTTAAATAAATTAAAATATCAGTGTATCAAGATTCCAAATATGACATATACTATTAATCACCGTCATGTAATATTGACTATTAACGTTACATTATTCCTTATATATTTTTCCTGCATAAATATATGTGTTAAATATTTCGATTATTATTCATAGAAATAGTTGTCTATAGTTTTTAAGCATAATGAAGTTGTTTTATTAAGCAACTTGACATGTGTATCGTGAAAGATTTTAGAAAACGCAATGAGATTGATACAATGTAGATTGGATTTTCACATATTAACAATATTACACAATTATTTAGAAAAACACAGTTTAAATGAAAATCATTTGAACAAGCAACAAAATACATTTCTATGATAACAAACTTATTAAAATAGTAAATAAAATTTTACAGATCAAATTAAAAAAGATCATATGAACTCAGATGACACAAATCATCGCAAAGTATTACACAGCAAAAGCATGTGAGCAATGATGAATTCACAAAACAATTTCAGATTTATAATTCAAAAATAGCACAAATAATATTATAATAATACAAAATTGGAGAACGCACTACACACGCACGTACAAGTCGCAATAAGTTGAAAAAGATACAACAGGTGGATGGAATAATACCAAAATAAAATACTGCCAAATGTAAAAACCAAGTAAAATGTATTCTATGGGCAACATCGTAATAATCATATATCATTATGCTGATACACTGAAATATAACCACAATGTGTATGTGTTTACAATGTTGTATGTATGTGTGTGATGTACACAGAGCGTTATCAAATAATCATTATTTATCACTAACTCTGACAATGATTATACTGACCAATAATAGGCAATATGGTAGCACGGTCATATACAGATCAGTAATAATAACGTATAACAATAACTGGGTAATATCGAGCACCAAAGGTATAACGTACAAACAAAGGAGTTTTGTAATTCCGTGTCCGCAGCGTATTTATGTCGTCTGCATGAGCGCACAAACCGTATGTGTTTATGTACTCAAGTACTATATTGCGTGTGGCATTGAATGTGCATAAGAGGATAAAATATGTCTTTAAGATTTAGCACATAAAATTTCTCAATGGCTTCATACTTATGTAACAAACTTGGCAAACATTATAATTATTATTACAAACATAAACCGAGTCTTTGTCTTCAACATTGTAAGTATTTTTTTTTCTTTCTTCCTCAAATATACTCTCCTATGATACTACTTAAAACATAAAATCGGTATTCCCTTAATTAGTCAGTTATGATGGCACTATATGAATTACTTTCCTTTATTCTCGCAATTATCAGCTAACGTAACGCACGACTATAATATTTTGTATGTTATTACTATTACACATTATTATAATAACTTTTATACATATATATCCACATATGCATACATCCGGTTGTGTATGCATGATGCAAATCTTTTATGTATGTGTACGTGTGAGTGTGTGTGCGTGTCCGTATACATACTGTTCTATTTAAAATTTATACATTGTACAATGTAACTGTACTTTGAATTTAACTGTAACAGTACGATACGCAATTTGAGGAATTGTTGAACAACCTCCCTTTTAAACTGTATTATACAAATACGTGTATAACTACATAATAATGTTTAAAATATGTTCCCCGTCACACTTCATCATCATCTGTTTACAGAGTGCATTTCAAAACTAAGCGGAAACTCAATACGATAACTATATGTTAAAAAATATATGAAGGATCTTATAACTTTTGGTGTGATTGCGTACGTATCAAACAGGTTATACCGTTTTCAGTTTCAAAATGCACAAATACAGATAGTAACAGTAAAATGACGATATCTCCTTATGACGTTTAAAAATGTGATGCTACTTGGCTTTACAGATATGTCCAGTACTTAAATCTGTATTTAAACTTAATTGTGTATATATATATATATTTATATTTATTTATTTATATTTGTGGTGACAACAGTTGTGGCTAGTACATATACATTGTATTTTTTTTTACTACATTGTTACAGTGATCTGGTACTTGTGCCGTGCATTGCAATTCGATTATTTGCGAACATTGCCTAAAGCCTATAATGGCCTCTTTTCCAAACAATCTTAGTTTATGTTGCAATATAAAACGTCTAACCATTCGTAGACCTCATTTATCTTATGCGTATGGCTCTTCTAACGATGGTCCATTTCGTTCACAGCGTTCCAACAATTTCAATAGTCTCTGAGTTTTTAACTACAATAATTATCATTACTTTACGTATTGAATATCTGTCGAAATCTTGAGGCACAACTGTATGATCGTAACTCACGGCAAGTAACCAAAGAGTATTTAAAACATGATATAAACAAATATTTTAAATGTAATATATATTTTAAACAAAATATATGTCACACAAGTCAGCACAATTTTACACAATTGGATCGCGCTTTGAACTGTCCAAGTTAAAGAAAAAAAAGCTAATACAGAAAAATACACCTTCAGTCACTGGGATATAAGTCTTCCAAAATTGATAATGTCTTATCCATATTACATCTTTCAAACGATTTTAAAATTAAAATAGTTCTTGATATTTGCAGTCAAACAGTGAAAATTGTAAAGTATGAACTTTATTCTATTCTGCAATGTGTTGATAACAATGTAACCTTCGTCATAAGTTGTGCCGATCAAGACGAATACATCTTTAATTACATCAACTTATTTTTGCTCACAGATATAACTTACACGTACTTCATATTAAAAATATACATTGAAGTGTACGTACATGTACTTAACGTACATTTAACAAATTGCCTACTCTTATGAGTTTTTTTGTTATGGATTATCGTATTGTATGTTATGGTAAAATAGATCAGATAGTACATATAAACCTTGCATATAAAGTACTGCTCATGCTTTTCACATCACACTGTGACTGTTATAGAAGTGTTGATGTCAGAACACTCAAATGACCTTAGATGGACTTATTATGCAAAAGGATCATGTCAGTTTCGATATCACAATAGGGCATTTCGGAGAAAGAATTAACAAGTTTTAGGTTCATAATATCCGTTGAGATTAGATTTAAATTATATCCTGTGTGAGGCAAATATATGTGAGGAATTTCAATTACCGATATAACAACGCCGATAAACAGTGAAATTAACTGACTTAACATTTTTATCTTACGTTCAAAGTTACGAAAAAGTCACAATAAAGGATACAATATTCTCGAAAAAATAACGTTGAGAGATTGGTCTTCGATTTTATTCGTATTCCTGTTTAACATATCGATCAAATGCATTTAAACGTAATACGAAACTTTAAAATATAAATCCACTTGCAAACATTTATACCTGTGTACCAAGTATATACAATCATCTTTCGTAATATATGAATAGAATATATTACAATTAAATATCAATTAAATATAATAAATTTCGTATCAATAGGAAAAGTTTAATAACTAGTGGAGACATATATATCTTTAATACATTAAAGTTTACTTCTTCGTTATGAAAAATAACAATTTCTTTATATTTTTTTGTTTGATAAAAAAGTGTGTTGGCTAAGAGATTGCACTTTGTGATCATCTTACAAATTCGTGGTTAAGATTAATGACTATACGCATTACGCTTTCATATTCCACATACCGATTGTTCGTACAGTCATATGAAACATTTCTAATATATGCATTAATAAAGAAAATGAATATCGAGGGTTATACCTCACCATACAACCTTCAATTATAATAGAGGTTGCCTTCCCACGCTATTTGTCAAAAAGTCACATTATAAAGCTTACAACATCATATATCGTTTCTCATATATGTATATATATCGCGCTTAAGTAGCTTATTATTTTCAAGACTTTATTAACAAATTGTACTGCATATACGATTTGGGAAAGCATCCTAACAGGAGGGCCACAAATGGTGCCAGGCACTATTCATTCATATACCTGCATATTCCATTAGTATGTTAATTACAATAATTTATCAAATACAACTCTCGAGAATGATTTTCACCAGGATACATCCTGAGATTGTAAAACATACATTGAAACCATCTTGACACATTTTCATCTTACTGATTTCAGGAAGAAGGTAATTCTACATCGTTACACAATTGCAACCCTGTTTTGCCAAGATCTTTTTTAATTTATCTTTACATGATTGTTGGCCGAGAAGATCGCGTTTCTGATATCGAAAAGGATAATCTCTTCTATATATTTATATAATTTCTTACATATCACAGAATGGATCTCTGCGACGAAAGATTTCTTAAATTCTCACCTTAAGAACAATTTCGTTTTCTATGTACAGTCAATCCTTCTGGAAGTGTTTTTATATTTAAAAAACTACAGGTTAAAATTATATAAAATTGATCATGGCAAATATAATGAAGTGTATTTAGAAATGTGTGTAATTTTGGTTTCTTTAAAAATTTACGATTAAAGTCTTTAACATTAATATCACTTAATCCTCCTTATCATAAGTTTTGTTTAATCACATTTTTAGTATACGGCATACACCTGTAGTATACAAACTCTTGTTACATATTTTTAGGCTTCAAGGGTTGCAAAGTTTTCAAGTTTTCTTCCTCCATAATCTTTCTTTATACAAATGTGCAAAATACTTGTGGAAAATGTATATAACGTGTATATATATATATATATGTATGTATGTATATATCTATACGCGCGCTGTGTGTATATCTTTTTTAATTAATCAACACTATATAATATGCCTATCTATCTCATATTACCTCATATAACTCAATATATTAATTTCGAATCTTGTTCTATAGAATATCATGAAAAGTTTGAGTACAGCAGCCGATTTCCATATGTTCGGAAACCACAGACCGTTAATAAACTCACGTTAACAATAAAATTAGTTGATTAATTCAAAAATATAAAAATCTTAATGTGCAAAATAAAATATAAAATTTCTTTTTGATAAAATTCTAACAGAGTAGAAAACTGCAATTAATAAGAAGGTTTGCATTTCCCGCGAACAAGCAAGTTGCCCATAAATAACGGCTGATGTATTTAATGGAATATAATGTTTGCGAACTGCAATGGCAATGTTTCTGAACAAAGCATATTTTTGCAGCGCGAGATCATATTAACGGATTATGGCGTATGCTGACTACTATACCGTACAATACAACAACGAATTGCAATGGTAAGTTCTGGTCTTTATAAATCTTACACTACGTGTAGATTTTCTCACAAGCTCTTTTAGATTCAGTATTACACTTTCAGAAATTTATAATTTGGGTACTGCGTTATTCCCTAACATACTGTTTCCTTTCGCATAAATTTTCGTACGATAAGCATTAAGAACTCAATGCCATATCGCGAAGTTAATACGAATTTTATGACATATATACAAACAACACTTCATATTATATACATGAAAATATATATATATGTATCTATCATATATATAATATATATATATAAAGTTTCAACGTTATGGCACCGTATTTTCTTTTTTTTTCTTCAAATAAATGTATATTCTGTGTCAGCTTCAAAATATAAACAGATTTTTCCACTCCGCTAGTTACGGCGGAAGCGTATCCATCACGTAGCTATCGTTATCGTGATAGTACGAAGTACGCATTTCAAAGACGTTTAAAAGGAGTTTGTTTAATTATACTGGAACTCACAAGCACTTATATGCCGTTGTACGTCGAGGAGGTATCAAACAACTGATGAGTGCAATAATTTAATCGACATTAAGTCGCCCAACCTTCCGTGATTCTCGAGCGTTTCATGAGCGGTCCGTTCTCGTAGTCTGAACTGTTCCCTCCATTCCCGCCACCGCTAGAATGATTCGTTCTGATATCACCGACTGTACCACTTCCCGGCGATGGTAGATTTGTCGGTGTTATGCTACCCGAGTGGGACGGAGGTGGATTACTACTCGGTCTGTTCGATACCAAGTTCAGTGTCTGAGATCCCGGATGAGAGACGTGATGTGGCGGTGGACCGGTACTGGACGATGGGCCGACATTCAAGTTTGTATGGTGTAGATTGCTGGCGTTACTGGGTCCACCATTAGACCCACTGTTACCGCCATGCGGATCTCTGGGTGGACTTATTGGTTCACTCTTTATCTTTACAGGTAAAGGCGACGTGGATGGTGGTGGTGTACTGCTCGATACAGCTAGGTGAGGAAGACCACTGCAATGTAAAAAAAGTTTTGTGATACAAGGGAAATATCTGTGTAAATTGTTAAAAATTCAAAAAGAAGATATGTGTGTATGTTCTTATCGCAACAAGTTTAGTTTAGTGAGTGAATGAAACTATAATTTTTCTGTGATTTTGCGATAATATTATGCCCATCCCTGTATCTACTTGTGTGAGAATGTGCAATGCATAAAATGAAAGTTAATCAAATCATGATGTGACTTGTGAGAATGTGTACTTTTGATAATATATTTGCTAATTTTCCCATAATAAGTGTGATTTGACTATGCATACAATCTATCTGTATAAATGAAAATGAAGAATATCCAACACTCATAATTTTAATGACACGCCAAACACTATTGTAACCGAAAAAAAACTATAGCGTTCCAGTGGTCGATATATTACAGCTACCAGTAACCGTGCGAATTATTCCATTAAGTAATAATGAATATGGAGAATTTAAAGAAACAAACGAAGAAAAGAAACAGAAAGAAATAATAAGTACGAGAAAAAATGAGAAAATAGAAACTAATTGAAACTTATGTACATTGAGTTCGAATTTACTTCAATTATTGAAGTATGTAAGTGAGTTGTAATAAAATTTACAATTTATTAAAATGTGAAAAATATTTAATTACATATGTCCAATTTTTTAATCCAATTAGAACCGAAAATGTCATCTATTAACTAATATGGATAAAATAACTGAAAGTATGTCATACCAACTGGACATATAGCTTTCTTTCACAACAATAATTATGAAATATGATTTACCTGATGCTGGACATGGTGGCTGCCGAATATAACTCATCAACGTACCTCTGATGAGTGGGCCATGCAAGGCCTCCGAGATCCGAGGAGTAATCTGTTGGTCCAAAACTAGAGTATCCGGCTGGTACTGTTGGTGTTTGTAACGCTACTACAGGTGTATTCAATGCAGACTGCGTATGGGCATTCTAAAAGTATAAATGAATAATTTCTCGTAAATTTCGAATATCTTTTTATCTCGAACACAATATACATGCTTTAGTAATTAAATAAGAAACTTTTTCTCTTTCATTTAAAACATTTTTTACAAAAAGAAGTTTTTCTTAATTGTATCTTGGAATTTAATTTCTAACTTTATGTTTTAATATTATTGCAAAATTATATAATTTTTTAAATTTCTAAATGAGAAATTCAGAAGAATCGTTATAAAATAAAGATTAAAGTAGACATTTTTTGTAACACTCATTTACGTTAATAATGATGAGACAATTACATCATAATTAGTGTCTTCGGAGAGAGGTTGCGCAAGTGGTGTTGGTATAACCACTCGAAGATTAGCCCTGTGAGGATGAGGCGGTGGCGGTGGAGGCGGAGGTTGCGGCGAATGCCTAGACGGATTGCTGCCTTTATTTGCACTACCCCCACCAACCCCAAGTGCGGGCGAAGGTCCTGGACTAGGTGAACCACCCAATGGTGATGCTGACGGAGGATAGCCATTGCTCATTTCCAACATTCCTCCCGGAGGATATACTGCAAGAAATATTTATCAAGTTAGACGCAAATTTTTTAAAAATATTGGGAATTTGCCATTTTTTAGCCTTTTGTTATTAATTAAAGTTACCTGAATCCGTCTCAGACGACGATGGACGTGGAGAAATGCTGGTATGTGCCATCGGACTAGATCCAAGAAGAGGTTCCCCGTAACTGTTCACTGGTACAGATACCGGTAGCGTATAATTCGACGATTGTCCCATTGTCTACAATCACAACAGACAATGCAAATTAATAATACCTGTAGTGAATAAATATAGCGCTGTGCCGAGCAGATTTCAGATAAATAGCAAATTTGCAATTTGCTATTATTCTGTCTTAACTTTATGTAATATAATGACGCGTATGTAAACTCATATTTAATTCTTTTCTTAGTGACAAAAATAGTATTCTAAAAACAACTAGATAAACAAGATAAATACGTCAAATAATTCATATGTTTTGATTGTTTTATTCAAATAGAAGTTAATTCTATGTAATTATTCTCATTTTAAATTAAAATATGTTAATTCTTACAAATTATAAATTGTGTAGTACATATTAATTCTATATTAATTTATACAATGATAAATAAATAATAAGAAAATGGTACATAAAACATTGTTACTGTTATGTGTAATTTTATAACATACATACATATCATATTTTTAAAATAATGAAATATTTAACAAATGCTTTAATATTTGCTGCAAAAACATTGTCGGAAAAAAATCAGAAAAAAATTCTTATCATATATGTCTTCTTTCTCTAGAAAAATAAGCACAAAAATAATCGTAACCCATATTTAGAAAGATTGATCTATGCCTCATGACAGGCCGTACATAAGATTTTAAATAAAATATTCACATATCAATTATTTTGACAAAAACGATAAAGTTAATTTAAGACATTAACTAACTTGTTTAAATAGTCCCTATATAAATAAAACTAGACAGTTTTAAATATTTTGGATAACATGTTTCAAGGGGCCCGATAAATCAGAAATTATTATATAGAAATATCTAGGTATATATTCGCATTCAGTAAAGATTATAAAGATTTCAGATAAATAAGTTAATTGACATTTTGCATAAACATAAGCTCGGCCCGAAATAACTGACATTTAACTTAATTTGAATATTTACCCTGCTGCCATTATGCTGATGCCTCTGCATCATCATTTGAAACTCCTCGTCGATCTTCGTATATTTGGCCTCGGTGCGCGGGGTAAGATTATATTCGATTGCGTCGGGTTCCGGGCTCTCTGGAGACATGGCACCCTTATGTTCCTTCTTGTTGAGCGCCTGCAAGTGTCAGCAGACAGGTTCACGTGACCACACCGCCCGAGGGCACTCAACCTTCACATGCACGTTAATTTAACACCAAGACGCGCGCTTCTTATCCTACCCGGTTTATTCTCGCAATTACGTTCGCGTAGAAAAGGAAAATGGGATCGCGTTGCTCTCATCGAAGTGAAACCGCGTTCCCCAAATGTGTAAAACGATATTGTACGTGAAACATCGATTTTATATTCTTTGTAAATTATGAACATACATAATATAATATAATTAAATTAAAAAATATAATATGATTAAATTAAAAAATAAAAAAAACATGCCTAAAGAGAATGATCATTCCAAAACTTCTCAGTTATCTTAAAACAACACCATGTGTGAATAAACATGTCGCGACGTAACCATATATGCAAATTTTTAAATATTGTTTTTTTTTAATTTAATGTTCTTTCAAACTAGTCAATTTTAAAAATCTTGACACCTAATACGAGAATTTATGAACTATTTAAAATTTCATTAAACTAAGGCCCGAGTATGTATGTTTGAAAATTGACCTTGCAATTTACTCGTATTTCTAGGGGAAAAAAACAAAACACAACCTTTAATACGCAGTAACGTTCAATCAAACAAAATTTATTTGTATTCTAACTCATTGAAACAACCGAAGTCCTTTTCAATCCTTTTATCATTTGTAATTCGTAGCAAGTTTCTTCGATACACTGTATATTCGACACCGCTGTCTTGACCTTGGCATATATACATATCCACAAACGTCAGATATATATTTCTTTCCCCATCGGAAATTTTAACGAAAAAGAGAAACATTTACAAAAAATCAGCGACGACATCAATACTTCGATCCTTGGCGCATCCTCGTTCATCCTGAGAATCCGTGACGGATAAATGGACTCACCTCGATAATATTCTTGTTAGTGAGGGACTCGTGGGGTTCGTTGTACTCGGTGTACTTGAGGAGAACCTTGTCCATGTCGGTGCTTGCATACTGGTACAGCTTGTTGCTCGAACTGAAGATAATCAGCGCGATCTCGCAGTCGCACAGTACCGACAGTTCGTACGCCTTCTTCATCACGCCGAATTTCCGTTTGTTAAAGGTCACCTGTCGCATATAAAAGTAGAAGGAGGGATCGCATCGAAGGTGAACTTCAGCGAGGTTTTGAGTCATTAAGGCTACTAATAAAAGTAGGCGCAGCCAATATCTATAAATCTTCGTTTCGCGATAATTGATTCATAACGTTGTTTAATTGCTTGATCAGTCATGTTACATAAGATTGCATCAATAATTAATAAGTTTGATCTTTTTATACGCGTTCTTACGTTCTTTCTTTCTCACCACAAGCGTAGATTTATTTTAAGAAAAAAATGTATCTATACAGCCGCCGTGTTTACCCTGAGAGAGACGATTATCTTAATTATGCACTATTCTATACTTTATGTAGAAAAGCAAAAAGTAGAATTTAAACGTCTATTCAAAATATTGACTTGTGATACTCGGAGATTGATATTTCTTTGCAATAAAAAATTTAAAAAAATCTTTGCCGTTTATACGCTCCAATTTTCCTCGTTGTTACAATTTTCAAAAATATGTACTAATTGTAATAATTAGCGCCGTTAAATCTTTGCAGAAACGTCAGTTTGATTGACATATTTAAAATTACCTGACGATTCCGTTCGTCCGTGATACGTGAAATCTGAATCTTCTTTCGACCCATTGTTGCACCACGTCTTGAATAAGAGGCAAGTCTTCGAAATCACACTGGATGGAATATTAAGAACACTGCAACACAAAGAAAACACACTTTTATTCATTTGGAAATTAAAATTATATTAATCTATAATAAACAGTGTAAAAAACGTAATAGTATTCGTATGTAAAAACATCGAACCTCATACTTTCTCGTTATTAAAGTAGGGAATGTAATCGTGACGATAGAGAGATTACAAAAATAATGTGTAAATAAAATTTATATTTATATTTTACAAGATGCAAGTCGTCGAGTATTCAAAGGTTTTATTCAAGAAAAATATCTTTTCACGAGAGAATTTTGAATGAAAAAAAAAATGGAAAAGTTACCGGTAGAAAGGGACGTTTGGCTTTTAAATGAATCGCACATTACTCGTCTCTCTAGATTTAACGCGTTTCGCTCGTCGGGGTGCTACGGGAAAAGACTGAGCGATAAATAAGCACGACAGTTCGCGGAGAGCGACAGAACTGGACCGCGCTTTAAAACCTAATATTCAATGGAAACTCGAGCGCGTGTCACTTTCATGTATCGATTACGATGCCGTGCGTATACGAACAAGTTCGCAAAGCGCCGGCTGGCGTGTGCTTCAGAGAGCCCACGGACCGGCAAACAAAGTGTCGAATCGTTTACCACTGCGAGATTGTGGCTTTCAAGCGGAATAAAAGGGAATGATGTCGTGCGCGACGTTGTTATGGGAGGAGAGCGTGTTTTTCAATTGGAATTGATAATTGAGCTGCCGCAGCGACGAGCTAATACAACAGAATTTTTAACTAAGTGTTGAGATAAAATGCACATTTACTGTGGCAGGTGTTCTCCTAAAAAAAAAAAAATAAAAATAAAAAAACGAAATATTTATCTTAATTTTAAAAAAATTTGTTGTCTCGCAGACCATAATTTCCAGTAGCGTGATTGATGACTTTTGACAAAATGACAATTGCAAAAGTAACTAAAGTAATCGAAGCACTTATCACACAAAAAAAAAGATAAAATATTTGAAGTACGGAAAGAAGAAGAAATGTTATTAAAATTAAAAAAAAATTATTATATACACGGGTGAACAGAAAAAATTTGCAAACCGCTTTTGAAATACAGTTTTTATTTTGAATACCTCGATCTTATTCTTCTTTTATTCTTTCGTTCGTTGCATATAAATACAATATCTCTAATCGACGTTTTTTTTAGCTATATTATATATGTTTGTTAAGTGTACTGTTTCATAATACGCTGTGTTTGTATTATTTTTCAAATACTAGTTAAATATCAGATTGAACTACTCCGATTCATCAGTTTTACTCTTATAAAGTTGGTTGATCTTTGTCGCTATTCAATGCCGAGATGTCAACTACATCCATTTTTAATGCACCGTCCAAAAGAAGATTTGTCATTATTATTGCAATATATTCTAAAATCGCTCAACGACGGACAATATAACGATGGGCGGCAAATTAATTATCAAGATATTACTGTAATACACTATAAATACGGAACTATTACGGTATGACATAGAATTAGCCACAAGCGCGACCGAATTAAACGTTTCGGGCCCACAAATAAATCGTCAGTGTCGGGAGGAAGGGGAACTAATTTAAGCCAGTGGGTGTTTTTACAGGCGAAATATACACTCTGGGTCAATGAATTTGCATCGCGGCTAAATCTTTTAACTTCGGCAACATTAATCTTTTCTTATGTAACGTGTCTTTTAATTAACTTGAGCCTTTTAGAGTGTAACTGTAAAAGGCACAAAGAGCAGACAAAAAATTTACGATCAGAACTTTTCAATAAAATCGTTGTAATTTTACAAACAACTTATACAATTGAAAGCCGCGTTAATCATTTGCTTTACTAACCCGAGATAACTCATATTTTACAGATACGCTTATAAAAATATTATTCCAAGATAACAAGATAACTGAACTTTTTTTGGTACAGCTGAATAACAGAAAGAAGGTATACAGCGTGTTTAAAAAGAAAATGTTATTAAATAAACACAAACACTACATTTTTTTGTATACTCTGACGTAATTTCTCTTCAGGCAAGGTATCAAAAAGAATCGTTCCTCACGATTTGAAAGGTCGGAATTCAGTATCCTAATAAGTTTCGAATTAAATTTCGGAGTTGAGTTATCCTAAGCTTGTTTGTGAAGTGGTCATCTCATTTTACATTGTGAATATCCTAACGAGTTTTGAATTAAAAATGGAAACGAAATCTCCACTCGAATATAAACGATGTTACTTATTAGTCCATTCTAAAGATTAATCTACCAAAAAACTGCCGATTTTTTTTCATCAAATACAATTCAAGGAAAGAGATCCGGTCGAAGACAGTAATGAAAACGCATCTGATCGCCAAGAGAATGATAATTTATCGTGCATTATATTCAAATTGCTTTCTAGTCGCGGCGAGTGCACATAAACGTGTGATGCAAAATGTGCGAAAAGCAATATCTCGCAATTTTATTATCGATGCTTGACGCGATCGCAAATAATCATGGAGTTCACTCAGTTTCTATGATTTTTTGCGTATAAAATTATCATCACGCGAGAGACATCCATTTAGCTCCTTGCATCTTCCTGAAAAAAAGAAAGATCTTGCGCTTTTCGTTTCACCCCAAGGTGTACAGCCTGTCACACATGAAATGCATAACAGAACATAAGCATAACATAAGACTGCTGGACCAATGAGCATCCAGCATAATGTCGCCATATTGATTTACATAAGATGCTCATTGGTTCAGTGGCCTTATGATATGGTTATGCAACTTATGTCATTTTATGTATGATGGCCCTACCTCTTTAGAGCGATTACGTACACATCAATATCAGGTTTTAATGAAATGAATTTATAAGCGCGACAATCAATACGGAGTGTTATCGTATTTTAAAAATAAAAATGGGTCAAAATAAATCCAAATAACGGACTTAACGAGATTTATTCAAAGCACAATGATGCGATCTGATATCAAAGATGGATTTTATAGAATGAAAAGAAAGTCAAGAATTCAATTCTTCTTGTAAATATTTAATACTAAGAATGAATTAGCGGATTTCTAGCAACTGAAATTTTCAATCTTGAAAGTTGAAAAACAGTGTGAAGAAAATGGAGACGTTTAGGTTGATATATTAAAGTGTAAAAAAAAGGTTAATCGCTTTTTAAAGATAATCGGAAAACTGTGTGTGAATACTGATACATCTAACGTATCGCGATCATGGAGAGGATAGAATAGAATAATAGATAATTACGAAATGTATAATACGAAACGCAAAACAGATCTTGCTTCTTTTCTACAATGTTCGAAAGTATTGGTGCCTAGGTAATTAAAGCAATTAAAGGAGCTTTTGTATTCGTACACATAGCGTATTGGCAATGATGTTAGCTGGGAAATAGAAAGCGATTCCTTTATCTCTGGCAACCATATGCCGTATTGAAGCAGATAGCGTTAATTGCTTCGATCGTTAATGCGGTGAAAATGTAACGGTGAAATACGATCCCCCGTCTGAGAAAAGTTCGTGGGCGCCCTATACCAAGGGATCTACATCTAATAAAGTAAACGAGAATCCTCGGTTTGAATAAAAAGTTTCGCAGGAACATGATGAATGGGGTAGATTTCGTTGTAAAATCTTACAACGTTTATTGCGTGAAAAAAGGTTTCCTTTCGACACGTTACGTTCGTGAGAAAAGTTCGACAGGCGAGCGCGATGCGTGTCTCTCGAGGCCAATACGAGGGTGGCGATTATTACTTCAATGCCATTACCGTGTCCTGAATGTGTAATACGTGATGCCTACTGTGTCCTAAATTGCGTAATACACGATCGATGCGGTAGGTATGACGTTATACGTGCCCGAAACTCCTCTTTTCGTCCCCAATAGAGACCTGCTATGTGCTCAGTCTATATCTAAAAAAGATCCGATGCTGTATTTTACACACATTTGCACAAATTGAGACAAGATTCAACAAGATAACACCGATATGTGTCTAATGACGTATAACGACGTAAGTTCGCGAGTCCGAAAAGTTTGTTGAAAGAATAACGTAAATTCGTATATCATAAGTTTTTATTAAGTCATAATATTTTTCTTTTGACTAAACCGAAGTTAGAAATTCTAATGGAAAATATCGAGTATCTACACTATTAAAGTAACTGCGAAAGATAAGCTCTTAGCAATTTGTGATGTTTTCCATATCTAACTATTAACGCGCGTTTAGTATTCTTCATATGTCAGTAGAGGAACGTATAACAAATTGATATACGAACGAGTTCGTTAAATATTATATATTTAAGTATGCCTAAAATACGCACGTGCGCATACGTTCTCATTCCTGCATCGTCCGTTTTTAACGAAACGGCGCTTTTGTGAAACTAGCAATATCTAAAGTACATCAATGCGAATACTTGCGAGCTAAAGAGAGAAAGAGAGAGAGAGAGAGAGAGAGAGAGAGAAAGAGAGAAAGAAAAAAGAGAGAATCCTGCGATATAGACGTAAAGATTCATATTGTTATCTCATTGTGCAACGCACTGCCCGATAAAACAGTCAATTGGCAATGTTGTGGCTCAAGAATTTTATCGCTATTGATACGAATGAGTGACGAAGGTCACGTTCAACGAAAGGATTTTTGAATTTGCGAAGAGTGAATAGTCGCGCAAGATTGAAAAGATACCCGCGTGCTCTACAATATTACACATGTCTGTAATTTGGCCGTGTAATATTACCATGCAAACGATCGGCCAGGGAAATAACGACGTGAGTACGTAATATACAACTACTGATAACGACAAGCTTATTTGCGTATACTTTGTACGTTTTCATTTCGCTCACATTTTTTTCTAGACCCAAAGATGTCTCCCCCGGAAATGTTAACAGCAATTTTTTTTCCTGGAGGAGATAAGAATAATAGCGACTAATAGCGAATTCAGTTGAACGCACTAATGCGCACTGGTGCATATTAAAATGCCATTGTACACTGATTTAGTCTAACAATAAGTGTAAAAATGAAATGCAAATATTTTAAATTATAAAATACATATTTTATTT